CAGTGGGACGACAGCTCAGAAGCCCCTACCTCTGGGCCAGGAACAGTGGGACTCAGTACCTTGGTCTGGTGGTCTGGTGTCCTCTGCGTCTTTGTAGTGTGGAATCAGGTGACTGCCTATCTGCAGCGGGGTGATTCGGTGTCTTCTGTGCTACTGAGGACCTCGGTAGGGTGTGCACAGACCTGCCTGTCTGCAGCAGGCTGATTAGGCGTGTGTTCTGCGTGACTGGGGACCTCAGTAGAGTGTGGGCAGACCTGCCTGTCTGCAGAGAGGTGATTCGGCCTCTTCCTCGAGACTCAGGACCTTGGTAGGGTGTGCCAAAGGAATAATTCTTGAGGGCAGCAGGCACAGGGCAGGGGAGAGCCCTGTGGTGACTAATTCGTGCCCCCCCATCTGCTCTGTAGATAGGTTCACTTGGCTCATATGTTTAGAAAGCATTTTAGTTGTCAAGCTTCAAAAACTGGGAAATTTTTCTTCAAAAATTCTGGATACATGGCTTATCTTGAAAAATTGAAATGATTTTGCCAGGCTGGAATCCTTATTTATTTATCTACTTATTGATTGATTCAAATTGGCCTTGAACTCACTCTGTAGCCCAGGCTGGTCTTGAACTCACAGTGATCTTCATGCTTCAGCCCCTCAAATGAAGAATCACAGGAGTGTGCCACCACACCCTGTTTCAACCCATATTTTTGCATTAGCAACTATCTGTGGAATTGAGAGCTGTTCCCTTATAAGGGGGTGGGGTACTCCCTGCACCTCCACTGTTTCTAATCTCTTGCTTTCTGTGAATGTCCTCTAAGGCCCCAGGAGAGAGGGTGAGACAGAATAAAAGGTTGACTGCCTCATGCAGAAGGAGATAGCCTTTCACAGTCAATCGCTTTGATGAACGAATGGGACAAGAGAGTTGTGAATCACCTTCATAGTCAAAAGACAGAATGAAAACTGTCTTGCAGTTACACAGATTGTAGCATTCCCCCTTTTCTGATAGTTCTTTATTTTTTTCAAGTTCTGGGCAGAGGTCAGATAGCACTTGAGTTACTTAAAGAAAATTTCATAGGTGGCAAGGACCGATTTCCTTCTCTTCCCTCCCTCCCTCCCTTCCTTCCTGCCTTCCTGCTTTCTTGTTTTCCTTTCTTTCCTCTCCCATCCTCTTCCATTTATTTTTCTTCAGTGCTGGGGACTGAATTCAGGACCTCACTCATGCTCTCAACTGTTGAGCTATACTTTCAGCCTCTTATTTTTCTCATAATAGACATAGTCTTGCTATGCTGCCCAGGTTGGTAAAGGCCAATTCTTAAATGCCAAATCTCACCACCACCTTGAGGAGGCACATCATTAGTTCCTAGGCTGCCTCCTGGCTCTCCTTGAAGCTTGAGAGCAATAATGAAATGATCCAAACACAGTACATTTCTGGGTAGCATTTCCAACATATTTGAAATACAGTACTTCGAAGTCTTTGTGCAGCTGCACTGAAAGGAGTATTTAACTTTCTTTATATTTTGTCTCTTGGGGGAACTCTACCAGGAAAACTATGATCATCTCTTGGAAGTCCCAGTCACTCGGGAGCAATTAAGTCACTACCGGAATGTGGCTGAAAATGTTCGAAGTGAACTTGCAGCGACTTTGGTCAAATTTGAATGTGCTCAGTCTGAGGTAAGATTGTATATATTCACCACTCACAAATGGATCTTATATAGTGAAGCAGAGCCTAGCGAATTATAAATGGGATGGTGGAATCCTATTGGGCAAGTTTATACTTATTCTTGTCTTGTGTGCATATTCTCTCAAATTCCTGCTAGAAAGCAAGGAGGGTTGGCCTGAATTATAGGTCTCAGAGTGGTTCTGAAGACTGGTGTGATCTGGGAGCCCCTGAGGACTTTGTGTTGAAGCTGAATGGGCCCTGGGGAACTTCTAGCCTCCCTTGGAATATGTTCTTTAATGAGGCTTGCTTGCAGTTGGGAGCTGCTAGGAGGGAATTTTGAATTTCTTTTCTGTGATAGTTCTGCTGGCTTAGGAAAGTCTAGTAAGATGTTTGTGGTCCATTTCCCTCTGGCTAGATCAGATCTGGATGGAAGTCTCAGGGGTCTCCCTAGACTCACTCTGCTCACAGTTCAGTGGTCCCAGGAGTCTAGGCTGGTCTGGGAGGTAACTAGCAATGTCTCTGAGTTTGCCAGTACCCCACTGAATGTTGATCCCAAAGATGAAACTGCCACAGAACTTGTAAAAGTAGAAATGTTTCCTTTGGATAAATGCTATAGGGGCTTTCCTTTGCTCTTTTATTTTTCCCAGAAATCTGAATAGTATTTTTCTTTGTTACCCATGATTATGGTCCAGAGAAATATAGTAATATATTGAATATTTTGTATTTACTTGAGAAACAGTGGGCTAAGAAATAACAAAGCATGGCTTGCAGTTTCCTTGAATCCTTGTTTGTAAGCAGCAATACTGATATAGGAAATGCATTACCACTGCAAAATATTTTATTGCTTTTGGTAATAGCACACCACAAATATTTCCTGAGTGAGACTAAATCACTCCAAGACATTGCTCAATTGGCTTTGAAAAAGACAGAATATGAAGCTCACTCTTAAGGCAAAATTTCCTACTTGGTAACATATACAAATATGAGAAAAGAAAATAAAGTTGGATTAAGTCATGAGTAAAAGTTGAGATTTTAAATTATGGTTTTGAGTTTCTCAAAAGTAATCCAAATGGTACACTGTTAAATTCCTTCTTCTTTTTTCTTACACTTCTTTTCATGTTAGCTTCGAGACCTTCGCTCCAAGATGCTTTCTAAAGAAGTTTGCTGCCAAGAACTGAAGGCTGACATGGAGAGATACAAAGAAAACAATGCCAGAAAATCATCTCTCCTTGCCTCTTTGAGAGACAGAGTGCAGGAACTTGAAGAAGAATCAGCAGCACTTTCCACTTCTAAAATCAGGACAGAAATCACAGCTCACACTGCAATTAAGGAGAACCAGGAATTAATGAGGAAAGTTGCAGAACTAGATGAAAAATTACAGTAAGGATATTTGTGATGGCTTGTGACTAGATGTCCCTCCAAAACCTCATGCAGTCATAGGTGGGGCTTTTTCAGAGGTGGCTTGATCTAGAGAGTGTGATTGATTCATGGTGCAATGCTAGGATGAAGGATGCTAGGAATAAGGGTGTGCGATTGCTAAATCAGTCCACTGATTAGTTTAGCACCACCCTAATCCTGGTAGCCTGGATACAATGTAGGGGACAGAAAGAGGCTTGTCTTGTCCCTTGCTTGCTTTGCGACCTTCTGCCCACCATGACCTATTTCTCCTCTGTGGTGCCTGTTGATTATGGACTGAAACCTCTACAAACTGTCAGCTAAATAAACCTTCCCCCTTTTAACTTTGAGTTTTGGGTATTTTGTCTCAGCAACGGGAGAAAAGTAACCAAGACAATACTGTAATATGTTTCTTAGTTTAATTGGCAGTTATACTGGCTTCGGTAACATGTAAGATACGTCTTTGCATATACTTTGAATGCTTTGCATTATTTGACCATAAAAGTCAAGTTGGAAAAAAAAGCTCATTGACCTCCCATATCTTTGGAGTCTTGAAAACTTTCCCCAACCTCATTCTCAGCACCACTGAGCATCTCAACACACAAAGAATTGTCCTAAGTTATGTCCTAAGTTATTGTCCTGGTTATGTCCTAGGGATTAGCTGTGCAAATGCTTATTATAGACATAATTTGAGGATTTCCTCTAAACAGAGGTTTTTTCCTGAAATGGGAGGGTAGCCCACAGAGGGATGCATTTATTCAGAAGTTAGTTATAAAAATACTTGGAAGTTGGGCTGGGGATTTAGCTCAGTGGTTCCGCCGCGTGCCTCACAAGCTCAAGGTCCTGAGTTTGATCCCCAGTACCAAAAAAAAAATACTTGGAAGTCAGACCACTCTGAACATTCCTCATCAGGGTTTATTGCCATTTTAGGCAGAAATTCATGGATCCCAGGTTTTTCCTACTTAGTTCTGACAAGGGGTGATTATGGAGACAAAATTGGGAACTGGTAGCTCCTCAAATATATATTAAAAATTCTATATATGACTTAAATATATCTCTTAGAAAATACTGGATATTTATTTTACTTATCCCATCTAAAAGAAATAAACCAACATTCCTGGTGCCTGTCCTGCTCTCCTCAAATGTTTGTATGAGCTCCCCTTCTCCAATTTCTCTTCTCTCTCTTTTATGTGCTCTGTGAGAACAGCTGATTATAGTCACCAGTGCTGCACAGTGCCAGGTATACGGCCAGTCTCATTTCACCCGGCCCACCAGTGGCATCAGGCACAACGATCTCTCTCCTTCGACCACTTTCTTCTGTTGGTTTCTAGGTCATGGCACAGGACTAGTCTATAGCTTCCTGTCTAGCTAGTTTCTTTCACTTTTTTCTCATTCCCCTGGCTTCTAGTTATGGGACTGCTTCACAGCCCCCATCTTTGAATCTCTTTTCTTTTTATGTCATTTAGTCTCATAGCTTTAGCAGTGATCAAAATACAGTCGACACTTGCAATTCTATAATCTAGAGTGGATCTCTTCCCAGAACTCAAGACTGACAAATTTTACCACCTAGTGGACATTTCCATGTAGTTGTTAGCAGACATCTCAAATTGTGTCTGAAATTCAGCTCCTGGTGTTCCCACTAAATCTTCCTATATGTTTCCTTATCTCATTTAATGTAATTTTTCTATCTTTTGATCAGGTAAAAAAACTTGCTATAATTCTTGTTTCTCTTTCATACTCATGTCTGATTATTAAATGCAATCAATCATATCTATCTTCAAATTAAATCTAATTTTTGGCTGTTTTTCCTTGTCTCCCCAATGTCACTATCATCTCTCATCTGGATTATTACAATAGGTAGTTGTTTCATATTTTAGTTTCAAATTTTTCCTTGATCAATTTGGGGTATCACAAAAATACCATAGATTGAGCAGCTTAAAAACAATAGAAATTTATTCCTTACAGTCTGGAGGCTGGAAAGTCTAAGACCAAGGTGCTGGCTGCTGTGTTTCCTGGCAACACTTCCTGGTGTGCAGATGCATGGCTTCTTGTTGTTTCTTCCCTTGGTGGCAAGAGAGTATCTCCTTTATGACTCTTCCTAAAAGGGCACTAATTTCATTTGTGAGGGCTCCACCCTCATGACCTAATTGGCTCTTGAAGGCCCCAACTATGGATATTGCAACATTGGGATTAAGATTTCAACATATGAATTCTGGGGGGAAAGAAACATTTAGTCCATAGCAGTGATTTTCTTGCTTTCACCTGTACCCTCTGGTGCCAGAGCAATTGTGTTAAAAAACAAATTAGATCATGTAAATCTCAGATCAGAGTCCTCCAGTGACTTGTATTCTTACTTAGAGTAAAAGCATAGGATTTTCTATGATTTAAATAGTTCATCCTATCTGGTTTTGTTACCTCTCTCTTCCTTATTTTTTTCATTCTAGATAATTAGTTTCTTTGCTGTTTCTTGAACCTCAGGGCCTTTGCACCTGCTAGTCCCTCTTCTGGGAAGGCTTCTTCCCAGATATTGCATGGTCTTCCTGCTTCCTTTAGGTTTTCTCTCAGAGGCACCTTCTGACTGAGGCCCTGAAGAGATCCTCATCTAAAATTTTATCCCTATCAATATTTCTTACCCTTTTTCCTGTTTAATCTTTTCAGTCCTTTTGTAACATACTGTATGTTTTACATGTATTAACATTTTGATCATTGTCCATTATATTGGTCAGCTTTCCCATTGCTGAGACAAAACACCCAATACTCACAACTTTAAGAAGAAAGGATTTATTTTGGCTCATGGTTTCAGAGATTGCAGCCTATGGTCAAGCTGGTTCCAAGGCAGAAACATCATGATGAAAGGGTGTGGCAGAGGGAAGCTGTTGCAACTCATGGCATCCAGGAAGCAGAGGGCAGAAGCAGAGCCAGAGAAGAAGGGACCAGGGACCAGATGTGGTCCCAAGGACAAGTCCCTGTGATTCACCAGATGCACCAGAAGTATTCTTTAATAATCTCCTAGTTCTCTCAAGCCAATCAAGTTAACAATCAAGCTTAACTGTTGTAGTCATCTTTCCAACTAGAGCATAAGCTCATGAGGGCAAGGATTTTTATTTGCTTTGTTTACTATTGTCTCTTTAGCATCTTTAATGAGGCCTAATGCACAGTAGGTGCCTGATAAGTCTTTGCCAAATAAATGACTAATGAGCATGTTATATACTTATCGTAATTTTTAAATACAAAAAAAGTGCCACTAGGAAGTTAAAAATGACCCAAAACCTTACTATAGAAAAGTTATAATGAACATTTTTGAACAGATTTTCAGTTTTACCCAAATGACATCATGTAATGTGTTATTTTTACTGAATAATATGTTGTAGATATTTTTGCTTTATAATTTTTAATGGCCCATCATATTTCATTGTCTGAAATATCTTAATCAAATCAACCAATTCTTTTGATGTTTTTATACACACTTAGGTTTATTCCATTAAAAACTTATTACAGGGTCAGGGATTTAGCTTAGTGGTTCCACTGCCTGCCTTGAATGCTCAAGGTCCTGAGTTCTATCCCTGGTACCAAAATGAACAAACAAACAAACAAATAAACAAACAAAAAACTTATTACAAAGCATAATACTCAGGTGGACTTGTATTTTCACACTTATGTGATTATGTCTCTAGCATAGGTTCTTGTAACTTTGTTGAGTCAAGTGACATGCAAGTAGGTGTGGACATAGTTTAGCATATACCTTGGGAATAAAGAAGACTGAAATCTTGGAGTTAGTATATGGGATCCTGTATGTAAATCAATCAGAGCCATGGCATTAACTGTGCTTTTCATGAGCCCCAAAGACCAAATAAATTTGACCTTTCATGTGGTATAAGCAAGAAATCATAAATATATTAATGTTAGTCCTTTATTATTGTACTCTTAAAAAAATTACGCATTAGGATCTGAGCTCAGGGCCTCATGCATGCTAAGTAAGTACTTTACCACTGAGCTACAGCATAAGCCCTTTTTATTTTATTTTGAGACAGAGTCTTGGTAAATTGTTCAGCTGGCCTTGAACTTGTGGTCCTCCTGTCTCAGCCTCCTGCATAGCTGGAATTACAGACATGTGGCACCACACTGAGCTTGTCATCCTTTTTACTAAATGGAAATATGATAAGCTTATGAGTATATGCAATTATGGGCTTTGTTAATTTTTGAACAGAGTGAAAAAATTTGCAGTAAACACTCAACATGGTCAAAAGGGAAAGCAATAATCATGTTTATTATCTATGGTATTGAAAAAAGTGATACCAAATTACTGAAATGATTCTAATTGCCTTTAAATTATGTCTATTCTTTTGATGATCCCTTAGTCTTTAACATTTAAAGTATTGAAAACAGTATTTCAACAAACCTGAGATTTGAAATAAAGTATTCAGAACAGACCAAAAAATCTTGATTTTCCCTGATTGGCAATTTCAGTACTCTTTAAGGATTCTGGGTGTGTGAGAATTAGGAATAGTTTTTACTGGTGGGGGAACACCTTTCTTTGCCTGACGTTGGAACATCCCTGTCTTGTGTCTTGTGTTATAGTTATGCTTGGCCATGAACCAGGTCCTTCATAGATCAGTGTATAATGTTTCAAAATACAATGGAGCTTGGTCCTCTAGAAAGCAACAGGACTCTCCTTCCCCATGTGAGCCACAGCTGTATGGGTTGTGACCGTGCAGAGAAAGGGCCCACGTATGACCCAGAAGCTGACCCTACCTCCACAGATCCTAACAGGCTGAGGAAAACAGGTAAAGCATCTCCCCCTCCTGTTGCTAGGTCCAGGATACCATGAGGATAGAGCACAGGGCCCCAGATTGCTTTTCCATTTAAGTTCTGCATTGGTTTGATGAGTAGTGCGTGCTGTGGCATTAAACCCTGACTCATCTGTTATTGCCCTGTAGAAAGTGTGCAAAGGAAAGTGAGGAGAATAAGAAGCAAGTCTCGGAGCACTGCTGGAAGCATGTGGACTTTCTAACTCAGCTTCAGGAATGCCTAGATCCAGACCGGAAGGACCAGAAGGCAGCAGAGGAAGATCTCATTTCAAAGGTGTTTGTATGCAGGTTAAAGGGACTGTGAATACGGGGTCATTCTGATGCGGCCATGCAGGGACGTGCAGTGGTCGAGTCGCTGGTGGCAGGAGACCAAGACAGTGGCCCCAGTGGAGCATTAATTAATTGTCTGACCTGGGACCGATCAGATCACTTCCCAGAGCCTCAATCCAAGATCCTTCCTAGTATTATTTGGAATCAATTAGTCTTCATAAAGAGTTGTTTTGTCTAAAATATATACAGGTTGGCAAGTACAATTAATTATTCATCTCAATGCTATGTTTTCAGGCAGTTTTTTTCTTTTAGTTACAGACACCACACACACACACACCAGGAATATGTCAATTATGCTTATTGAGTATAAGGTTAAGATTATCTCTGAAGCCAGGCGTGGTGGTACATATCTGTAATCCCAGCACTCGGGAGGCAGAGGCAGGAGGATTGCCATGAGTTCGAGGCTAGCCTGGGCTACATGAGTTCAGAGCCATCCTGAACTACAAAATGAGACCCTGTCTCAAAAACAAACAAACAAAAAACAAAACAAAACAAAAGATTAGCTCTGAAGTACTTTTAAAATTTTACATTGAAGCCAGATAATAAAAATCCTATTTTAACAGTGATTATCACTAAAATGAAAGTTAATGAAATCAACAGAATAATCCACTTAGCCCATAGTGATTCATTACGGTCCCTGCAAAGATTTGAATGCTTATGGCATCTTTGCTCATTTTACAAATTTATTGTTGGGACACCGTGACACATGCCTGTAATCTCAACTCCTGGGAGGCTGAGGCAGGAGTGTCAAGAGTTTAAGGCCAGTCTGGTCAAAAAAATAAAAGACAAAATCTTTCATTTTTTTCCCCAGTGTTGGGGATCAAACCCAGGGCCTCCAGTGCAGTCAGGCCAGTGGTCCACCCCTGAGCTACACCCACAGCTGCTCCATGCAGCTGTTCTTGAAAAGCCTCTCAGCTGTCTGCCCATCGGCTCCCCCAGGTCCTCTAAAGGTGCAAGAGGATTTAATTTTCTATAGCAAGAAGTATCCACTTCACTGATGGGTTCTGTGGCTCAAGACTAGAGTCTGCTTGACACCCTGTGGGCGCCTCCACCTGTCTGGCTGATATGGGCCAGGAGCTGCACTGCAACAAAATCCACTTCACACTGTGGTTTAGGGGATTATCTTTCAAACCAAGTGGTGAGGAGACAAAGAATGCATTCAGAAATTCCTTTTTCGGGACGCTCCTTTCTCCGTCAGAGTCAGTGTAGCTGCCAGTCTGGGGGTTAATGCTGTGTTAACCATGCCCTTTCACTTTCTGTTTTCCTAATGATTTGCCACCTGGGGCCCAGGAGAGCCTGCCAAAGCTCCCAGTGTTAGCCGGTTCCTGGAGAGAGTGAAGGATGCTGGGAGTACAGCTTTCATATGCAGACGAAGCCAGTGTGTGGCTCTTAGGCTCCTGGCCACTATCTCTTTTCTTATCACTCTAGGGACAGACAGCAGACAGCATGGGCATGGTCCTTCCAAGGCATTCACAGTAGAGCTTCTGGCCCGTAGTTCTCTCTGCCCCCTCTGCTTCCGGATGGGCTTTGGGGCTACTCCAAGTGGCTCTGCATGGCATGGCCAGTCCTGTCCTCCTCTTTGGAACTATGCGCAATGAACTATCTTTTCAGTAGTAATGGTCTCCTGATCTGTTGGACTCACTATACTTGGGTAATATAGGACTTATATTTCAAAACACACAGTGGGATTCTGGACTCTTACTGTCGCTTGCTATTGTGGATCCCTGTTTTTGTAGACATGAAAATTAAAATGAAAGTGAGTAAGACGCACACCAGTAATCCCAGCACTGAGGGAGGAGGATCACTGTGAGTTTAAGGTTAGCCTGGGCTACATAGTGAGTTCAAGGGCAGCCTGAACTACATAGTGAGACCCTGGCTCAAAACCCCCTACACCCCCCAAAAAAGCTTTCATTGAAAGTTAGGAAAGTACTCCAGCTGATGTGGCTGGTGGGGACACACTCTGATACAGGGGTTCAGACTGGCCCATATCCAAAGGTAGGAGGCCAGCTTTGGAGGATTAGCTGGTAAGCCGGGTCTGGTTGTTCATGATCTCAGTCTGGTGTCCTAGTTCTGGAATCTTTTTTTTTTTTTTTATTTTTTTAATTAAATAACTTTATTATCAAACACACACATAAAAAATTAAAACCACTCAAAGAAGAACAATGCAAGGGGAAAAAAGCTACAATAATATTCAAATACAGTAGAACTCAACCAAAACAAAACTGGAAAGCACTTAAACATTTTCCCATATAACTTAAAAAAGCATCTCTAGCACCAACAAGACACCAGAGGATGTGATTTGTTTCAGAAAGTTCCCCAAAACCAACACTGAACAAATAATGATCAGGAAAAAACCTCCAGTTAGTTAGCAGACTCCACATAAGCCAAACTTCTCCCTAATTTAAATTTCGATACAGTCATATGACCCGTGATGGAAACACAATCCGAGAACTATGTTATTAGGCCATTTCATCTGTGTGTATCCTTACTTACACTATCAGTTTCTCACACTAGAGAAGCTACTTGGTATTTACACACATGTATCCTATTTATTTCACTTAAGAGAAACCCTTCAACATGCATCCATTTAGCTATAAAGGTCTGCAGTTTCTTGTTCTTTATGGCTGAGTAGTACTCCATTTTATAAAGAAACCCACATCTTCTTTATCCAGTCTCCAGTTGATGGGCACTTGGGCTGCTTCTAAGCTTTCGCTATTATGAACTCTGTAGCTATAAACATGGGTACACATATATCGTTGTGGTATGATTCTTTTAATTCTTTTAATGCTGGGCTGAGAAGGATTTGACCCAAGATTTACAGTACCAAAGGGTACAAAAGGAAGGTCAAGGTGGGCATCTGTAGGCTCAAGTGAGGAGTCGTAGCTCATAGCAAAAATAGCTTTGAAGTCTTTGACTGTCACAGATTGGGAAAGATCAGGCAAACACAGATTGTGCTTTTATCGAGTAGCATGAGGGCCCAGGTTCTGCCTGTGCCCTGTTGCTGTGGTGATCCTGACTATCTCACGACTCGGCCTGAGCAGGTGCTTGTCTTTAAAACAACTACTACCCTAGAGCAGGAAGACTGGTGTTTTGATCAGGGCCACAGCCTCATGCAGTGTTCAGTTGAGAAAAGGAACGAAAGCTCTCCCATCTCACAGCTATTCTTCACTTTTACACTTGCTTGTGAACACACACACACACACACACACACGCCCTGTAGGCTCCATGGTGGAAAAGAAGGCATTCCTAATAATTTATTTTGGTGTTCATTCATCTATCTCACCGATATTTAGTGAATGCTTATGTGCTAGGCATTCTGGATGCTGGGGCTGGGACAATGAATTTTTTGAAGCTTTCATTGTCATGGTGTAAAGATGGTGAAGAGATTAACAAATAAATATTGAATATTATTCCACATAAGAAAAACTCATGAGGATGTAGGGGCGGAGGATGGAAATCAGAGGTGTGGCATGCTAGTTTAGGCTGATGACCAATCAGGGTCCCCTGATCCCTTTTGAAGGTGAGCTGAGGTGTGAGCATGCAGATATGAAGAGTGTCCAACACAGAGGAAGGTGCTACAGTGGTGGAGTGCTGAGGCCGAAAGCCATGTCCCTTCCCTAGGTCGTCACAGCATGCTGACCTCATCATGTGGGTCACCGACTTTTCTTGTAGGCATCATCGTGGTCCCACAGAGAGAGAGATTTTGTCACTGTGCCTCATGCCCTGATGTCCAGGAGCCTGCCTGCTTTGATCTTCTCCCTCCTAAATTTCATAAATGCTCCCAGTTTACAATTCCGATGTGTGGCATAGGATGCAGAAGAACCCTGCTACTCTCGACCCCAGTGACAGCCATTGTTTGAGCAGCATACGCAGACTCTTTCTTTGCTTATATGAGTCAGAAGGATACTTTAAGGAAAGCAGTAGCCCCATCTGTCTGCCCCAGTGACAGGAAGTGCCTGGACGTGGGCTGGCACAGCCCTCAGACCCTGTGGCCACCTCTGCAGAGCCAGCCAGGGCTGCGGGTGCCTGGCAGTGTGGGCAGCTTTGGGTGCACCTGCCACTGGCCTCGCCTGACCCCTGAGTTTAGATGTTCCTTCTGACAAGTGTGACCTTTGTGCACACACTGCTGTGTACGGTTGTGTAGCCACTGGGTACAGACTGTGAGTTGAAAGTGGATGGGGTCGTTAATTTTTATGACAGCTGTGATGGGTTTCTCTTCAGCTTCGAGAGCTGTGCAGGGAAAACGCATTCATGAAAGGACAAATTGCTAGTCTTGAAGAGACTATAAATGTCCATGAGATGGAGGCAAAAGCTAACAGAGAAACGATTATGAGGCTGGCGTCCGAAGTCAACAGAGGACAGAGCAAAGCTTCCTCCTGGGCGGAAGAGAAGGACAAGCTGAACCAGGTACAGCACATGAAGCGTGTGTGTGTGTGCACTCCTGGGATCAGGTTCAAGAAGCAGAAATGTAAAGATGGATTTAGGAGGAATGCACTAGAAATGGAGACGACAGTTTCAAAGGGCTGCTTCCAGAAGGAGGGGTAAGGCAGTTGGGGTGAAGGCTATTGGGTATATATCATTTTTTTTTCTTTGCACAGAACTAGAGGTTGAACCCAGGCCTTTTCATTGAGCTACATGCCCGTCCTTTTTTAAATTTAAAAATTTGTAGCCTAGTGCAGTGGCATATGCCTGTAATCCCAGCACTCAGAAAGCTGAGGCAGGAGGATTGCTTTGAGTTTGAGGTCAGTTTGGGCTACGTAGTAAGTTCAAGGCCAGCCTGAACTATAAAGTGAGATCCTGGCTCAAAAAAAAAAAAATTAGATTTCGAGACAGGGCCTCTCTAAGTTGCTCAGACTGGGCTTAAATTTGTATTCCTCCAGCCTCAGCCTCCCAGAATGCTGAGATTATAGGTATGTGCCATCTTACTTGGCTGTGTTTTTCTTTTTAATTGGAAAATAAAAAGAAATAAAAAATACCTAAGAGTAAAGAATTTGTAAAGAAGATGGCTAACTTTTAAAGATTTAAAGATACTTTTAAAATTTGTCTTAAAATTTTAAGTTTTATTTTTTGAACAAATAGAATACGTTTGCATCATAGAAAATTCTAAATGTATAAAAGAAAAGGTGTTCAGTAAAAGCTCTTCTCCCTACCCTTCTCAGCCTCCTGGTTCTCTCCAGAGGAAACTTGTTTCAATTTCTTATACAACTTCTAGAAATATTCTATGTATGTGTATGCATGAAAAAGAAATTTGTTTGTTATATATAATATATATTATTTGTATTTATTTTTAACATATGGCAATAGAGTATACACTATTATCAATAAGGCCACTGTGAATAATATCATGCATTTGTTCATGTGTCATCAGTCATGGAGAACAAAACCCTAAGCTGAATGTTGTGTTACCTGCCCATAATTCAGTGCTCTGGGAGGCTGAAGCAGGAGGATCTCAAGTTGGAGCCTAGCCTGGGCAAATGGGTGACTTAGCACAATCTTGTCTTAACTATGTTTAAAAAAGGGATGGGATGGGGCTTGGCATGTGGTTTAGTGTGAGGATTCTGGGTTCAATACCAAGTAATGTTAAAAAAAATTCTAGAAGTAAATTTTCTGTATCAAAGACTATGATATTGTAATTTTAAGGGATATTAACAAAAAGAAGCAACATAGTTCTAAGCTTTTTAAAAAACACAATGAGTAGGGGCCAGGGATTTAGCTCAGTGGTTCCAGTGCCTGCTGCGAAAGCACAAGGTCCCAAGTTCGATCCCCGGTACCAAAAAAAACAACAACAACAATGAGTTGCCTGATCTTTTCAAGTTGGCTAGAGTTTGAGTATGAAAATAAACACTGTATTTTCAATATATAACCATTAATCATGTTTTTTAAGTTTTGTGACAAATTATTGGATTCATATTGGATTAATACTAGCAATCCACTTCCAAAAGCAAAACTGAGCTAGTGTAATCAGTTACTACAGGTCCACAGGAGGAAAGCAGATGGCCCTGGTAAGGAGATGAGGTTCACGATTAGGTAATGACCGGTGCTCATCCCAAAGAGGCTCTCTGAAAGGTGAAGGCCCAGGGGTCTCCCAGGCTGAGGGGCCGGTGTGGAGTTGGTGTGTGCGAGGAGCAGTCTTCCTCGGGCCTTCCCTGTCTACAGTGACACCACTGTGGTGTGAGAGCCATCCACACAATGACAGTGATTTCTGTTTCTCCCCTAGTTCCCTGCATCAACAAATCCTCTTCCACTGGCTTTCTAGGAAAGAGCAAAGACCATCATTGCTATCATCATACTGTCTTAGCTTGTGCTGCCATACCAAACAATACCACGGAGTTGGCTAGGGGTGTTGCTCAGTGGTAGAGTGCTTGCCTAGCTTGTATGAGGGCCTGGGTTTGATCCTCAGCAGCTCACACCAAACCAAGCCAAGTCCCGCAGACTGCGGTGCTTAGACAAAAGGGGTTTATCCTTCACAGTTCTGGAGGCTGGAAAGCCAAGGTCAAGGTCAAGGTGTTGGTATGGTTGGGTTTTGATGAAGATCCTCTTCCTGGCTAACAAATGGGTATCTTCTTGCTGTGCCAGAGAGAGAGAGAGAGAGAGAGAGAGAGAGAGAGAGAGAAGGAGGGAGGGAGAGAGAGAAGGAGGGAGGGAGGGGGAGAAAGAGAGAGAGAGATCAAGCTCTCCAGAGATCAAGCTCTCCAGTGTCTCCTCTTAGGAGGGCACTAATTTCATCATATGGCCCCACCCTGATGACCTCCTCTAAATCTAATCACTTCCCAAAGGCTCTACCTTCAAACACCATCAAGTTGGGATTAGAGCCTTTGTGCATGAGTTTTGGAGGAACACAATTTGGTCCATAGCAACTCTCAATTATTTTTCTGTCTTTTTCTTATAAAAAATTTTAAATGTAAACAAAGAGTGAAGGACCACGACAATGAACATCCATCTTCATCTTCCCAGAAGCAACATTTGTTAGCATTTTTCCCTATTGGCTTTGCATGCACACATGCACACAAGCACACAGATACACACACACATACACATTGCAGAACCATTTGAAAATAGGTTACAGATATCATGCCTAGTTCTTGACTACTCTTTCAAAACCATACATAGTCTGATTCTCCTCTTCCTGAAAAGTAGAGTTTAGTTCCTTTCTCTTGAGTATAGAATTAGCAACTTCTAGTGCAAAGAATATGTCAGAGGTAATGGGATGTCATACTTGAGGTCAGGATATAGTCTATGGCTTCTTTTTAGAATCACTGTCTTGATCTCTCTAGAGTCACTTGTGCTTGAGGGAGGCCCACTGCCATGCTGTGAGGTGGCCCTGGGGAAAGACACAACAGCTTCCATGCGGTAGAGACACTCACACAGCCTACTGAGGCCTACATGTCAAGGACCTGAGGCCACTCAGCCACCATATGAGTGAGCTGGACAGGGAATCAGCCTTCATCCCAGCCTTGGGATGACTGTGTCCCTGGGCAACAGATGATTGTACTCTCAGCAGAGACCGTGACTCATGGCCGAACAGCAAAGTCATGGCCAGGGCCGGGGATTTAGCTCAGTGGTCCTGCGTCTTCCTCGAAAGTGCAAGGTCCTGAGTTCAATCCCTGGTACCAAAAAACCAGAAAAACAAAAACAAAAGCAAAGTCATGGCCAGATTCCTGACCCCTAGAATCTGCAACAATAGATGCTTTTTATTTTAAGGCACTAAGTTTGGGGCAATGTGTTACACAGTAATTAATAACTAATAATCGTCTACTATCATATTCATGTTCTACATTTCAAAATGTATGACTTGCATTCAGAATGTTTTTTATAGCTGTTTTCTTCCCCAAATCAAGATCCAGTATGGGTTCATTCATTGCATTTGCTGATTATTTTTAGCTGTCCCCCACCCCCTACCCCCATACCGTGGATCAGACTCAGGGCCTTGTGTTTGTGAAGCAGGCGTGGTGCCACTGAGCTAAATCTCCAGCTATTTTTACCTGTTTGTTGTTGTTATTATTGTTGTTTTTGTTTGGTACCGGGATTGAACTCTGGTCCTTATGCTTGCGCAGCAGGCAGCGAAATATTTTTACCTGTTTTAAAAAATATTTTATTTTGTTTTTTGAGATAGGGTCTTGCTATGTAGTTCAGGCTGGTCTTGGACTCACTATGTAGCCCAGGCTGGCCTGAAACTCACGGTGACCCTCCTGCCTCAGTCTCTCGAGTACTGGAATTATAGTAGTATGCCATCACATCCCAGGATTTGCAAGGCTGAGGAAAGAGGTTTGGCATGAGTTCCAGGCCAGCCTGGGTTATATAGTGAGTTCAAGGCCAGCCTGAACTCTGAACTACATAGCGAGACCCTGTCCAAAAAAAAAAAAAGAAAAAGAAATGGATGTGGATGCCTATGGAATTCAGATCAAACCTCTTGGTGAGAATATTTGGAAAGTAAACCTGTGTACTTCATGTCAGAAGGAGAATGATGTTAGATGGTTCCTTTATTGGTGACAGTTTAACTACCAATCTTTTCAGTGTAAAGGTACACTAGTATTTCTTCTGCAGTTCAGTGATACTTCTATGGGATGATAATTATCACCTTATTTCTGCTCCTTAGGACTTTATTAGTGACATTAGCATCCATTAGGCCTTGCCTGGATTAACTATGTCTTCAGGGTGGCAAATGGTAATGTCCTAATTTCACCATTACTTATATTTATTAGCAGCTATTTTCCTGTGAAGAAAAAAGCTTCCTTTTCTGAGGAATGAGGATTGCAAGTTTGAACCCAGCCTGGGGACCTCAGTCAGTTCCTGTCTCATAGTAAAAAACAAACAAGGGATTGGGATGTAGCTCAGAGTGAAAGGCCCTGATTCAATCCCATGTTAGCTTTCCCACCACAGAGACATAAGACCCAACACCCACAACATCAGGGGGAAAAGTTTAATTTGCTCAGGGTTTGAGTCCACAGCAGGCTGGTTCCACAGAGACATGGCAGAATGGTGGGCAGAGCTGCTTAGTTCATGGCAGTCGAGAAAGAGCAGGAGCACAGTGCCAGAGAGCAAGAGCAGGGACCAGATGTAGACCCAAAGGCCAGACCTCTCTAATCCACCCTGATACATCCAGAAGTGCTTCCCACCAATTCCCAGGGAGAACCCACAGCTAATCAAGTTGAAACTTCACCCTAAGCACCACAAATCCCCACTACAGAAAAAAAAAATCCATTTCTCTTTTTCTTTTAAATTCTAGAGGACATACAGATTTTTATTTATTTGTTGTATTATAATTGATTATTCTTTTCCAGTGTTCCAAATTCTCCACATTTGTCCAGCACCAGCCTCTTCAAAATGGCGCTCATGACCCTGTAACATGACTCCTTTAGTTTTCAAAATTTGCTTTCTGGACACCCTACGAGGTCCCTAGTCGTGCG